TGGACTTCGCGCCAGAATCCGTGAATGAAGATCACTTGGGGAATTGCCCACATCTGGTGGATATCAAAGAGGATATCACCTACGAACGCGCCTCACCGAAAGTACTAATCGGGCAAGATAACTGGCACCTCATAGTGTCTAGAAAACTGCGCGTCGGCCATCGAGACCAACCAGTCGCCTCATACACCAACCTGGGCTGGGTTCTGCATGGCTGTCATAGCTCATTGACGTCGACGGTCACCTTCTGCGGCAGACTACATCAGAGGGAAGATGCACCACCGATAGAAGAAGAAATAAAAAATTATTTCAAATTGGAGTCGCTGTGCATCGAGCCGAGAAGACCGAAAGAAGATCCCGAGCAGCGAGCCATGCAAATATTGGACGAAACCAGCCAGAGGTCAGCGGACGGCAGATTCGAGACAGGGTTGTTGTGGAAACAAAAGGACTTCCAAATACCAAATAATTATAAAGAAGCGGAAAGGCGCCTGCACACCTTAGAGAAGAGGCTCGACCGAGACAGCAATCTCAAGCTACAGTACGAAGAACGCATCGAGAACCTCTTCAACTCGGGTTACGCAGAGCGCGCGCCAATGCCACCGCCGCAAGGAAGGACATGGTATCTGCCACACTTCCCAGTCATCAACCCTGCGAAACCGAACAAACCGCCGAGATTGGTACACGACGCCGCAGCGAAGACAGCCGGAATATGTCTCAACGATATGCTTCACTCGGGACCCGACTTATTACAATCACTGCCCGGAGTGATCATGAGGTTCCGACAGTATCCGTATGCAGTGAGCGCCGATATAAAAGAAATGTTCATGCAGACTAAAGTGCGCAAAGAAGATAGAGACGTTTTACGTTTCTTGTGGAGAGGCAAGCGGCGGGAGGACCAACCGGAGGAATATAGGATGACGTCAATCATCTTTGGAGCGACATCATCACCATGCACAGCATTATACATCAAAAATAAAAATGCTGAAGAACATGCAGAAGCGTACCCAGAAGCTGCGGTCGCCATAAAAAGAAACCATTATATGGACGACTACTTGCAGAGTTTCCACTCTGTCACGGAAGCTCAGCAAACAGTAAAAGCAGTCGATCACGTCCACAAACAAGCGGGATTCGTACTCAGCGGGTGGACATCGAACGAAGAAAAAAACAATAGAAGAAATAACGACAGAGCATAGACAACACGACGCGACCGTGTGCCTGGGCGGAAAAGAAACTGAGAAGACGCTAGGGCTGCTCTGGCATGTACAAAGCGATCATATTGGATTCAATACTAACAATATGAAGATGCCTGCCGACGTAAAAGAAAAACAACGCTTGCCAACTAAACGAGAAGCGTTGAGCGTCATAATGGCATTATTTGATCCGCTGGGGTTAATATCACCGGTGACCACCCCAGCGAAGAGAATATTTCAAGACACATGGCGTTACAAGGCGGACTGGGACGACCCTCTGCCAACAGAATTAAAAGAAAAATGGGAAGGCTGGATTACTTCACTTAACGCCATAGAACAACTAAGAATACCGCGATGCTACGATTACAACCCGGTGTCGACGCGCCAACTACACACATTCGTCGACGCAAGCGAGGAGGCCTACGCAGCAGCAGTGTATTGGAGAACGGAGCGAGCAGACGGCAGCGTTAACATATCATTGGCCGCCGCCAAGAGCCGCGTAACACCACTGAAACCAGTTTCCATACCACGGCTCGAGTTACAAGCAGCACTGCTGGGAGCTCGTCTTGCGCAGACCGTGATCGATGAACACGATGGCGACATAGCAGGCAAGACATACTGGTGCGACTCCCGTACTGCACTGGTGTGGATAAGATCGGAGCCTCGCGCGTACAAAGCTTTCGTCGCTCATCGCCTGGCGGAGATAGAAGATACGACCAAAAAGAACGAATGGCGTTGGCTACCGTCGAAAGAAAACGTGGCAGACGACGCAACCCGAGCCACACCAGAAGGGTTCGACGAGTCGCACCGATGGTTCCGAGGGCCCCCGTTTCTGCAGCGTCCACCGGCAGAATGGCCGCAGGAAGAGAAAACGACACAATATGACACCGGGGAAGAGCGAGAAATATGTAACATCGCTGTTAAAAGTGAAGACTCGACAACAACACATCTTCCACAGATAGGAAGATTTTCTAAATGGATTCGCCTCATAAGGGCGACAGCGAGAGTCCTCCTATTCATCGACATGTGCAGACCAAACAAGCACGTAGTGAAGGCTGGGCGTAAACGCAACAAAGCAAGACAAGGTAGCGACCCTGGCTGGCAGAGAACAAACAAACGCAACACCCCCGCCAAGGAGAAAAAGGCGACTCCTACTGCCTCATCGCTTGTAGGAATACCGGCCGCTTATCATATGAGAGCCGAACAACTGTGGGTGCAAGCCAGTCAGCGGGAAAGCTTCACGAAGGAGCTCAAGAGAATCACCAGCGGAAGTGTTCCGGGAGGCGACGACAAACTAGGCCACCTGAGCACATACATTGATGAAGAGGGGACCCTACGCCTCAGAGGTCGAATAAAAGCGGCATCAGAAGTGGAGGACGACATGTACGACCCTCCCATATTAGACGGGAAGCACGCATACACTCGCCTGTACATAGCACACGTACACGAGAGGCTGCATCACGGAGGCGTGGAAACAGTTGTGAATGAATTAAGACAGAGATTGTACGTAAGAAAAATACGTCCAGTAGTGAAAACTGTCGTCAAAGGATGCCTGCCGTGCCGTCTAAGAAAAGCCAAGCCTGCATCACCGTCTACAGGAAACCTGCCGTCCGCACGCCTCGCTCATCACGCACGTCCGTTCACATACACCGGACTAGACTACTTCGGGCCAATAGAAGTCACAGTGGGACGACATCGCGAAAAGCGCTATGGCGCGTTATTTACCTGCATGACGTCGCGAGCAATACACATAGAAGTAGCCCACTCGTTGAGCGCAGACTCAGCCGTGTCGGCACTTAGGCGTTTTATGAGCAGAAGAGGATGCCCAAAAGAAATATGGAGTGACAACGCTACGTGCTTCAAGGCAGCAGACAAGGAGATGGCCGAAGCAGCACTCGCAGCCCTCGAGCACGAAACCACGTGTCAACAGATTGTGTGGAAGTACATACCGCCATCAGCACCGTTCATGGGCGGCGTATGGGAGCGAATGGTTCGCTCCGTAAAAGAAGCCCTACGCGTCACCCTCAACGAGCGCTATCCCAGCGACGAAACATTGGGGACCCTGCTCGCCGAGGTCGAAAATACTGTAAACTCCAGACCTCTCACACACGTCTCAGTCGACCCAGGAGACCCTGAAGCCATCACGCCGAATCACATCCTCATCGGTCCCAACTCGCACGTACCTGCGCCGGGACACTTCAGCAAGAATGACGTGACGGCCCGCCAGCAATGGAAACGAGCTCAAGCCCTAGCCGACGTGTTTTGGAGAAGATGGGTTAAAGAATACCTGCCCCTACTCCAACACCGGCGGGAGCCCAGCAGCATAGGAGTATCGCCGAAGATTGGAGACCTAGTCATCATTTGTGACTCCAATCTACCACGCAACACCTGGCCCAGAGGGAAAATAAGTAAGGTATATCCTGGCGTCGACGGAGAGGTACGAGTAGTGGACGTAACCACCGGCAGTGGGCACATACTAAGAAGACCAACGAAGAAGATCGTCGTGCTACCAGAGGGATCGCAGCGTGGCGACGGCGGGAGAATGTGCACGACGCAACAATATTAAACAAACGAAAGAAAATGCTTATTGTAACCGGCGCTAGTTGAACAACCTAGGAGCGGTGGGCGGAGCCAGGACGACGGTGTAATTATCAGGCCACGCCTCTGGTTCGACAACTAGCAAGGGTTATACGGCGGAACTAGCGCAACCTTATGTTGAATTTAAATTATAATTTGTGTAAATAATTGTATTACTTGTATCGAACGATAAAAAATAATGATTGTATTATAACTAAGTTTAAGGTTGAGTTGTAACTGTGCAATAACTCTCCCAAATAAAGGCACCGTATGAACAGGGAGAGTTAGCATAGTCTTCTAATGAAAACTATAATTGTTAAATATAATAAATGTTTACTTTATTATATAATAAATATATTAGGCCGTTAGGCACATAAAAAAATAGTAGTAGTGTAACCAAAGAGCATGTTATCGTGACGCGGCCGCGGAGCAAATGAAGCCACGCGCACCGCGCCACGACGTTTTATATTTATAGTGCTGAGGCGGGGGGAAGGATTCTCCGCCTAAAGCAGCTGAAAATTATAATGTAAACCCGTAAATAAGTAAAAATATTGATATGTACACCCTAGTCTAACAAGTAGTTATAAGAATATTATATAGTGAATTATGTTTATTAGTTTGTAAGGTTATTAAATAAATAAAGATAGGCGCGGGGGTGAGGCAAGGGTCCGCTGGCCAGCAGCGGCCAAATCATATAAAAGACGGGCCGGCCGCTAGGGTCAGCAGTCGCTCTCCAGCCACCGAAAAGGCACCAGCAAGAAAAGAAAAAGTACAAGTTCCTCCTCACCGCCGCTTGCCTCCAGTTAAAAGCAAGACCAGCGCGTTTTATTCCATTTTTCGCACGGCATTACGGCGATCCGTAATAGAAGCTGATGTTCAACCTTCAATAAGTTATGCTAGAGCATCACACGGTGAGGCTCTACAAACAGAAAAACGTAAACAAATAATGCCTGCCCCAAATGCCGGTTTCAATATTTGGACCAATCAATTAAGGGAAATCTTATCACATCATAATAAAGGTTCACGATTATTGATTATTATGAGAGGTGCTCCTGGGAGCGGTAAATCGTTTTTAGCAAAACAAATTATAGAAATGACTGTTGGAGCTACTTTCTGTGATTACACGAAACATATTCTTAGCACTGACAACTACTTTATGGTAGAGGTGTTTACCAATTCGAAAAATCAAAGCTTTCAGATGCTCACATATGGAATCAGTCTAGAGCAAAGACAGCGATGATGCGGGGTATAAGTCCCGTTATTATTGACAATACTAACATTGAAGTGTGGGAAATGGAGCCGTATGTAAGAAATGCAGTTAGAAATGGATATTTGATAGAAGTTGTAGAACCAAACACTCCATGGGCAAAGAAAGCAAATCAATTGTCACGGAAGAATATTCATGCAGTTCCTTTCCACTCAATTAAAAGAATGCTTGATAATTTTCAAAATGGTGTTACAGGTGAATATTTGAGAAATTATTATAGATTGTCTTATCCCGAAAATATGGTTCCTCCCGTTTTAAGAAATTTTCCTCCAATGCCAGTAGAAATACCTGTTGAAACAACTGTTGGTAACAGTAATCACAATCCAGTAACAGAATGCAGTAATGAGTTAATAACACTAGAAAGCTTACCTGTTCAAACTCAAGATGTAAAAAGTAATGTGTCTTCACGTATAGAATCTGAGGAATTAAGTCAAGACAATACAAATCAATCAATTAACTCACAAATTGTACAAAATGAAAATGAGGACAATGGAAACTCATTGCCGATTCATTATGCATAGTATATAGAAGAAAAGTTAGAAGAATATGCTAAAGTCGAAAATGAATGGGAAAACGGTGAAAACTGGGAAGAGGAAACAGAGAAAACTCAAAATAATACTAAAATTGATGATTTAAAGAAACTGAATGAAATTTCGAAACCTAAAAGAAAGCCTAAAGACTCCGTAGAGTAAAAATCCATACAAAACTCGCTACCCGAATGTCAGGATTGGACAAAAATCTCTATGTTTATGCCACCTTGGGAAAGTGAAGATGTAAAATCAAATGTTGTCAACCCTGAAATTTCAGTTGAAAAAGTTTGTAGCAGCACTTGTATGGAAATTGGCGATACAGATATTAACAATTCAAGCAAACCTCATAAAATTATAATGGCAATACCCAGAGACATAAATTTGTATTACTTGCCACTTGAGAAAGTGAAAATCCCAGATAAAGTGATGTTAGATAAAAGTAGTATGACAAATGACCGGGCAATAATAGAACGTTATAGATGTCAAAATGAAGAGAAGCATTTTAAAGCTTTTAGAAAATTATTTAAAAATATTAATAGATGCGATTTAAGAGATATATTTGATCGCTGTTGTGGAGATGTAAATTGGGCGGTCGATATTGTACTTGATGGTGTTGCAAATAAACAGTTACTAATTCAAGATGAAGAAGATTCTTCAGATATTGAGGAAGAAATTTCTGGACAGTGTGAATGTGTGGCAGCATATAATGTAATACCAGATGTCATATCAGCATCTAGTACTAAAGAAGATCATACCTCAGAAGGTGTAGTAGATAATGTAACATCTACACCTAGGAAAGTAAAAAAAGAAGTAGTCATCACTGAAAGTTCTATTCAGTTAAAACGTCAAATAGAGAAAAATGTGGTTATTGCTGATAATCATTATTCAGAACATTGCTTAAAGATTAGAAAATTACGCCGTGGAGAATCCTCCCAAGCAGAAGTCAACATTTGCGAAAATGTAGAAAGTTCAGATAATACTCAGAATTTCGAGAAAGTCTTCCCTAGTACTTCTAAAGACATAAGTGAAGATAATTATTTGGACACGGAAACCGCTGAAAACGATAATTTGAACACTGATAGTGATGATGATGATGAAACTGGTTTTGATTATATGGAGAAAACTGTTAATATTGATATAATTAATAGAATCAGGCGTTACTTTGCGGAAATCCATTATATAAAAGCTTTTACAAAAATTTACTTCGCAAATATCCGCGTTATAAAATAAAATGATGTGTCTTACCTAGTATGAAGAAGCACCTCCCGCCCTCCCTCAATTGCGTGCACTATCCCCGTCACCACTAATCCCAGCACCGCTACTTCCAACACCACTACACTAGGCAAGACACACCACTGACGATAATACGACACGTGTCTCGCCTCTACACGAGGCATCCTCAGGTGATATAGACTCTACGGTGGCTAACCGCTAAGATTCGTTCGGCAGTCATTTCGTAACTCAACTTGACGAATTCTTTGGTAGGCGAGACATGGTATATCCTGAAAATATTATACCAACAATAAATATTCCTGTATCCCTCCTAAATGAAATTAATGCTCTTTCGATGGAATCTTTGATGGACCAATTGGATAAGGCTACTAAACAGACGCAGTTAATGGTAATTCAAGATGAGGAATTTGCAAGGTAAACTACAATAACTTCCTATAATTATATGATTTGGTGTCACTGTCACCAATTTTATTTATTATTATGTATATGTATTTATTTATTATTTTCAGACAATTAGCGCTTAAAGAGGAAGAATTGGCTTTAGCAGGAAAAGAACCAGAAGTGCCTGATTTTAAGGAGATAATGGATCTAGATTTTGCACTTTCTTTGTATAAAAAGGATGTTGAAGAGTGGCGAAATAATGAGCCTAATGATTTGGCTGCAAAACTTACACGGGAAAAATTATACAATTTATTCCCTGATATTTCTCCAAATATTTTGTCCGAGCTTCTTATGGCCTATGATAATAATTTCCAGGCAACTGTAGAGGTAAGTGTTCAAGTTAAAATACATTTAAAATATAATAAAATAATATTTCTTTCATGGCAAAATGAGAAAAAGTGCGAGGGAGATGGATATTATTCCATCTCGCTTCCTTATAGCGGTCAAGGCCATCTACACTACGTCAGAAGAGGTCGTGACAGAAAAATCTTACAATTTCTCTCGCCTAGCGCTCATCCGCCCAATTAGTACCGTGCGATAAGGATAAGGTGCTTGCTCTCCTGTGTTCCAGTCTGAAGTGTAAAGAGAGCTAGTACTATAACAGGCTGTGTATCATTACATCTCGTCCTCAGAGGTGACATCACAAAATAGTTCTTCTATGTTTAAAGTTGGTGGCATGTGTCCATGGACTGCAGTAGCAACTTACCATCAGGTGGACGTTAATTCGTTTGTCACTTCAGTTTTATAAAAAAAAAAAAAGAAACTGCATTCTAAATTATCACATTCAACAAATACAGAGGTGCCCCTGAGTAAGGGCCTAGTGTTTTAATATATTGTAGTATGTAGGATTATATACATTAATTAATTTATTTACTCTTTGTTGTTACACCCAAGGTAACAAAAAGGCGGATTTAATACATGTTGCAAGTCACAGAAGTCCATTTGACTGTTATTTTGATATATTCTATGTGCGTCTTTATGCCAAAACTGCTCTTCTTATATAATTTTGATAAGTCTATAGCTAGAACTGGGAATGGAGATAAAGAATGTAATCAAACTTTCAGGGGGAATATATGATTGATGATTGTGGTGAACTGTATAAGATTTAGCCATTTTAAAGTCCTAATCTGTATTTTTAAACGATCTATTATTAATCATGAATCATGAAAATCAACAACAACGCTACGATAACAGGAACAATCTTACATGATTGACTGGCTAGTAATAGGCATATCATCTTCATTCATTACATTAAATAAAATCAAATAGTTTAGGAGCCCGTGAGCGGCAGACGTACGGTATTTCAATAAGCTTTACGTTTTTTTCAGTTAATCCCCTATACCTGAGGTACATGAAATGGGGACTCTTTATTTTGACCGGTGGTTGATGTAGTAAAAAAATTACCGAAATAAACGTGAAAGTAATAAGTTTGCCCAACGGATTAGTAAACTGAAGTGGCAATGGGCCGGTCATATAACTCGAAGAATCGACAATCAATGGGGAAAAAGGTTCTCGAATGGCAGCCTCTTACCGGTAGGCGAAGTGTAGGGCGACCCCTCACTAGATGCAGTGACGACCTAGTAAGACAATCAGGAAGACTAGAAGAATAAGACACTTTTCACACCTGAGCGTCTATATCAACCGCTGATCAGAAGTTGTGTATCGCCAGCAACGCAAAGTCAGGAATTTGCATTTAGAAAAACCCAAAATTAGGGGCTTTTTAGGTGCTAATTAGGTGCCAAGTTTAAAAATTAGGTGCTCTAAAATTTTCTCCGCAACTAACTGTTAAAATGAAGTTATTACTTATACGATAAATATTAATAGCAAGGAATTAAATGCTAATTAGGTGCTGCAAGTGTAGGCAATAACAAGGCGTCCCTAATAAAAATAAAGTTATATTAATCAAAATATACATCGCGGCATCCGATGGAACCACTGAAAAAAAGCATTTTGCCCACTCGTCCTTAGGGGTCTCTTCGACGGCATTTTGAAACGCAGCCACTGTGCTTCCTCGGCGTCCATAAAAAGTTTTCCTCGAAGTTTTTCCGAAATAAATAAATCGCAAAGTGCGAGGTCGGGGTATAGGGCGGGTGACCTAGTAATTCCACGTCTGACGTCGCCAAGTAGTCGATTGTTTGCTGGGCGGTGTACGACGAGGCGTTGTCGTGGTGAAGAAGGATCCTACTGCGAGGTCGTTTCTCACGAACTTTTTCCAAGACAAGTGGCAAACAGTTGTTAGTATACCACTCTGCAGTAACTGTTTTTGAGGTATCCACCGAGCACAAAGCTTTCTAACCGCTAAATGTTCATGGAGGATTTAGTGCACTTGACTGATACCGATGCCTAAGCTTGTCCGAATCTGCTGATAAGTCACTCTTTTGTCAGTCTCTATCATACGCCGCAAAACACTGATGTTATCTTCAGTCGTCGCCTTAGAAGGCCGTCCCTCACGCAGATCATCGGAGAGATTAGTGTGATCACGTTTAAAGTCATTAAACCAATTGTAAACAGTGGCACGAGATGGGGATTTATCGTGAAACGCCAATCAATGTCTATCATAACTTTCTTGTTGACTTAAATGCCATCGAAAGTCATAAAAAATCTTTGTACGAAAAGTTTCTCGCGCTAAATTCATGCTGACGTGTGACACAGACAATTTTCAATTTGCCCCGCCAAATCGTAAACAAATGAAAATTAATATATTTTTTTTATAGGATAAGGATGACAAACGAGCACACAGTCCACCTGATGGTAAGTGGTTGCTGCGGCCCATAGACATCTACATCTATCCTCTGTTACAAATCAAAATGTAGATGCGTTGTCACCCGTGAGTACTAAGATGGAATGCCTCATTTCCAGTAAAAAGGGCCTCCGGCCACCTGCACTCACCAAGCGAAACGCAGAGGTAAACCTCTACTTCACGCTGGTATTCTGTGAGGTCGTGGTACCACCCCGGTTCGAGAAATAAAATAATTAACAAATTAATTGGCAAAGAGTTCCATTTTCAAAATTTCAACAATTTTTTTTGTATTCTCAAGCCAGGCAAGCCTCTCAACCTCCCCTCCAGTCATAGTCCCATTAGCCTCCTCAATGCTATGGGCAAACTCCATGAAAGTCATCCTCACTCGCATGAGGCACCATCTGTTTCCCACAGATGGTGACGCTCCTGTCATCCCCCACCAATTTGGTTTCCGAGCGAAACACTCCTGCCCCCAACAAATTCACCGCATTGTGGAATATATCCTCGGCGGTTTTTATCCACGTCGTCAAATGACCATCGCGGTCTTTTTCGACATTGCCAAAGCCTTCGATCGAGT